TCAACTCAAATGTCACGTACATTATGGTCTGCACATTAACTAAAGGAGGAGGTTGTGCAAAAACTCTGAACATTCAGGACACAGGACCTTATTACAAGACAACACATTATGGCCATGTCCTCACGCAGCCGGGTATTTTTAAAACCGAATATTTCCCCCCCTCCGTTTATAAAACAATTTGCATCCACACTCGCTCGTAGTTTTTAAGGCAGTAAGATCCATGCTTCCTCAGTGATCAGAGGTCGCACGTTTTGTTTGCTGTTTTGGGGGCACACTGTGGCGTGCGAAAACGCAAAACTCCAGTTATCTCTGTCCACACGCAAATGCATAAAGTTTTCAAAAATCTCCACTTTGTCCGGAGTTTTTTATATATTCGTTTATTCATGTGGATGACAGGTGCAAACGAAGACAAATATCTGCGGTTTAGCAGATACCCGGATGCGTGTGGACAGGGCCTATTTTTCCCTGAATGAGCGACCTCTCACATGAATCGTTAGCTCCTATCACATCACTCACATTATTCAAACACAATAGACTGCAGTAACTAATACACATACCAGAGTAAACTTTCTGCCCACTACTATCGAGTACCACAAACAAACATGTAATTTATTATTTTCTTATCACAGTGATCTAAAGATTGTAAACTAAAAATGACCAATCACTCTGTTGAGGCGTAGCATGTTATCACCTTGTACAATGTCCACATGGTGCTGAGCAGATGCTGGTGTCTGTAGGGAGCTCTCATTAGCAGCGTATGTACAGACACAGACGGACTCAGAGTGAGGCCATCGAGGCGACCGGCCAAGAGCTCGTCAATGGCACAGTTTACAAAGGACAACACCCCCCAGGCACGAGGACCCACAAGCAGACACACTCATGCCTGACCTGCTGCATACAATACACAATCCAAAAGGAGACTATTGGGAAAGGTTGTTGAAAGGACACAGTGAAAATTTAGAATTGAGCAGAAATTTGAGAGGTCTTAAGGAAAACCACTATCACACTAAATGGAATTGTATATATTGATTATTATTTTGAACACAGAAAGTCCATTAGGTTGGCCAATTTCACAACATTTATTGCAGTGAGAATCCAGATTTGAGCAATATAAGGTTTGACCAATCAGATACCTTCAGTTGGGGGGAAACTCCAGCTTACCTTAGCAACCATCTTAGTAACATGTCTGCCCCTGTCACGGCATGAAGCTAACGCAGGAGAAGAAATTCCCATTTAAGGACATTTCCTGCTAGCTAATGTTCAAATCGGTCTATTCCGCATTACGGCTAACACTATCAAAGGCTTTGTCTCAGACCACAAATGAAGTTGGCGATCTGCAGATTTTTCTTTTAACAGTGGGCCTGTCATAGTGGCAGTTAGGAGTGTGATGATATATCGATTTTTTGATATAACGCAATACTTTCTCCCGCGATCGATTATCGATATGCATTTGCCAAGTATCGATTTTTTAATTTTTTATTAGTATCAATACTTAATATATAACCACATTACACATCTCCATTCAATTTATCATGAAATAAAGGTTTTTTTTCACTTTTTCTGTTTTATTTATGCCATAAATTGGCATATGGTATATTTCTGACCAATATATCGATAATTGTCATATCGTGATGTTATCGTTATCGTGAGATTTGTATCGCGTATCATATCGTATCGTGAGGTACCCTTAGGTTCCCACCCCTAGTGGCAGTGCAGAGGAGTTAGGGGAGCGTCTATAACTCAAACATACATGAATCGCTATAAAGGGGAAACGGTCAAAAGTCAATTCAACATGTCATGTCCTTTAAATCAGTGACAAGCTTTTTTAGCCGTGTCACACTAAAGGGCACAAAAGTGTGACAAAAGGCCAAACATTTGATTTTAATAATCCAAAGATATTTTATGTTTTTCATGTGTTCAAATCCCTCCTGTGTCCTTTAGAAGTTTCTAGAACAAAACTGTTTTATACATTAGACAAGTTTCCTGAAGCGGCTCTGTTTATTTTATGTAACAGACGGAATGAGCTGCGGAAGTTTGTTACGTATTTTCAGATCCACATTTGATTCAGAGATACTATTTTTTTATATCGTCAATTAATTAAATGTAAAACCAGACCAGATTTTTCTGGTCTGGTTTTACAGAAAAATGGACGGAAACCATCACGTCCGTTACACATTTATCAAGGGTCATTTAATTGTTTTTTTGTTTTTTTTAACGATTCCTTTTTATATCAAGGGATTTACTGATGTTGTGTTAATGTAAATCTGTGGGATTTCATCTGACGCTTTTTCAGACTGAGGACATTTTATTTTCTCTGTAAACGGCGTCACAGTAGAACGGTCCAATCAGAGGCTGATTTTGTCGTTTAAAATGTCACTAAAAATATATTTGTCAATCTTTCCTTTTGGTTTTATCCACACTATCTCTTCAATGTGTCTGTGTTTGAAAACATTTTTCCAATCTATGATAGTAATTTTAGTTTTTGAGTTGTAACCTTTTAAAGTCCAGATACTTTAACTGACACTTTACTGTGAACGCACTCATTACATAGAAAAGGGCAGAAAAGTCTGTCTAATCATCTCATTCTTTTCGCAGTATTCATTCAGATCAGTGAAGCTCTGTTTTTCCCTCACATCAGTATGTTCGGATACATAGCACATTTTTACAAGCTACATTCCCACTAAAAAGTTTGACTCATATTCCACTCTAGCCTCAGCTGGGAGTGTGTCTTATATTTCACCACTGCTGCCCTAAACCGATCATCTATAAATCCGTCAGTTTTTATTGAAGCCCTCCAGCAGGAATGCCAGGGCTGCATATTGATACAGGGCGATATACCGTAGAGTAGAAGAGGAGGAAGAGCGCATGCATGTCTAAAAAAGGATCTTCCTGTTTTCCCTCGGAGACAGTAAGGTCGTAAAAAAACCTGGTTGGTCCAGTCGGGGCTGTTCCCTCCTGATAACACACGACTTTCCCTTCTCTCTCATACATTTTAGGATTCTTCAGCACTAACCCTATATTAACTATTAATCCTTTCTTCTCTGTAGTCTGCGGTCTCGCGGGCCTCTGTTCACAGTTCTTATCCAAAGGAGTTTCCTCTCCAAAGAGCTCCCCGCCCTTCACTTTTCTCCTGGCATACTTTCCTGCCTGTCTCTCCATTCGTACGCAGCATATAACTTTTTCCTGGGTATAGCTCGGTCCTCGGTCACTGCGCGGTGCTTTTTCTATAACAGTTGTTTTTTTCAGAGGCTGCGGTCCATCAGGACTAGAACCTCCCGCCACAAGAACAGTTTCTTCCCCTCTGCTGTTGGACTCTTGAACACTTCTTAACCTGTCCCCCCGCCCTTTATAAAGTCACTTTACTGCCCATCATACGTCACTTTACTTCACTGTACTGCTGTCACCTTACATTGTGTGCACCATGTGCACTTGTATATTGTAAATAGTAACTGTAACTCTATTTTAAATTTAAATTTATTCTTTAGAAGTGTTTTTTATTCTTATTTTTATTATCTCTTTTTGACTGTTGCACTGAGCCAAAGCAATTTCCAAGTCTGTGACCTCCCGTTACTTACGTTGGCAATAAAAATGATTCTGATTCTGATTTTTTGACTCGCTTAGCCTCCCTAGGTCTGTCCCACTTTTTAATTCTCACTCTTTTCGTCTCCTTTTCCTCTGTCCCCTGATGTTTTCAGAAAGCAGAAAACTAAATCTGTCATGCCCCTTACACCGGCATTCTATTAGCTAGATTAAATGTGGTGTTATATCCGTGTTTTGGACAATTAAACTACACAAAGCACCACAATACTGAATGCTGCCCCATTTTACCCCAGTCCCATTAAAATAAAAATGATCATATAGAATTGTCACAGTGCTCTAGGTCTCTCTTATTCTTATTCCCAAAACAGGAAGTTCTAAAGACAGGGGGTGCTCTGGGACATTGTGATTAATGATTGTTTTCACCAGATAACTTTCTATTTTTTTCAAACTTTTTATTTTTTCAAACATTTGTACAATAACTGTAAAAATTGTATGTAAACATCTATTCATGTGTTCACAGGACCCCCAAAAAACTTGAATTTCAACACAATGTAAACAGACATTAGAAAAGACAAGACAAGAACAGACAGAGATATCCAACTCGAAACAGAGAGTCCACAAGCACAAGAAAGATCAAACCAAATTGAGTGGCGAATCAACAAGAGTCACGATGAAACTGCTCCGGACTTGGGACTAAACTGCAAAAAAAAAATTGGCCCAGGCCACAAAACTGATGTGTTATTAGCTGGAGAGAGTCTGATTTACCTGGAAATAAAAAGCTTTCGATTTACCGGTCAATCTTCGTTCCCTCCCTCACCTATGGTCATGAGCTTTGGGTAATGACCGAAAGAACGAGAACACGGATACAAGCGGTCGAAATGAGCTTCCTCCGCAGAGTGGCTGCTCCCTTAGAGATAGGGTGAGGAGCTCAGTCACACGGGAGGAGCTCGAAGTAGAGCCGCTGCTACTCCACGTCGAGAGGAACCAGTTGAGGTTCTGGTTCCTCTCGACGTGGAGAGGAACCACGTTGAGGAACATCCCTGGGGAGGTGTTCCAGGCACGTTCCGGGCACGTCCCACCGGGAGGAGGCCCCGGGGATGACCTAGGACACGCTGGAGGGACTATATCTCTCAGCTGGCCTGGGATCACCTTGGGGTCCCCCCGGATTAGCTGGAGGAAGTGTGTGAGAGGGAAGTCTGGGCGTCTCTGCTTAGACTGCTGCCCCCGCGACCCGGCAACGGATGAAGCGGAAGAAAATGGATGGATGGATGAAATGCTTCACTCTGACTACAGTGACGAGTGGACACAAGTTCAAAGGTCTATCATCTATGTATGAAGATTTTTTACCCCAAGTGAACTAGAATTGGTGCAGTTAAAGTGAACCAGATCTGCAGTTGGTAAAACAACCTAATGACTTATAACGTTAACGAAAAGGCTCGGAGTTGCACACATAGACCCACCTCAGCTGGCCCAGGTTGTAGTGCCGCGTCTCTCCGTCGGTGGACCTGGTCACGGTCACAGAGTGGTACGGTCGCAGCTGCCGGAGCTCCAGAAGCACGATGGCCAAGTAGTGGATGAAGAGGAGAGCATCCACCAGCGACACAGCGTACTGCACTATCCCCTGGTAATTCTCATCCTGGAATAGTAGCACGATTGTATTATTTCACTTGTTATGCAAAGACTTACAGTATAAACAATAAGATACAACATTATAAACCAAAAAAAAAATGTGGATTTGGTAATTTTTTTATTTTAGTTTTTATTTTGACCCTAGTTCTCCTGTGTTTTTTATTTTATTTTCCTGTCCTTTCCGCCTCTTTGATAGTCTGCCCCTCCCAACTGTGTCCCACCTGTGTTTCTGTGTCAATAAGTATGTGTCTACGTGTGCTCTTCCATTTGTTGCTGGCCCGGATTGTTGCCAAAGGGGTGTGAAGATGACTGCGGCCAAATGCGTGGAGTACAACGCTCAGTCCAGCTGGTGGCGCTCAGTGATGGGAATAACAACGTTACTAACGCAGTTACTTTTTTCAGTAACGAGTAATCTAACTAATTAATTTGACTGTAACTATAACGCCGTTATAATTTCCGACATCCCATTACTGCGCGTTACTCAAGACGCACAATGAACTTCTCTTTTTACTTCGTGATAGGACTCGTGTGTGTGTTGTCATGAGAGAAGGGAGGATGAGAAAACCTCTCAGATATTATTGGCTGATGTAAAACATATTTCCTTTACAATCTACATGTCTACAGTTGAGAGGATGCTCATAAATTATGTTGTTGAAACAAATATGGGTCTTAATCGCGCTCAACTACGGCTTGTATCACCGTGAGGCCTCAGAGGAGCTCATGAGAGCGCAGAAGGCTGCATACAATTCCATCGATAAGCTCCTTTCTCCTCCTGGTTTATCTGCTAAGGACAGCAGCAGGTTTGGCTAACATACATATAATACATTTTAAGATAATTTAAAATGCACTTAGGGTAATTTTTCAATGACTATAGGAATGATAAGAAAGAGGTGAAGTGTAAGACGGTTGATTTTAGAAATTGGATGCAGCCGGCTGCAGCAAAACAGGAGTTTATGGAGGACACACGCGTTTTGTTTTACTTTTTAAAACTCATTGGACTCATTTCCAAACGGAGGATTACATATCTACGCTCAAACTATTATCTGGACTTAAACACAGAACTGGTCTGAACCGAAGTGGACTGTGCAGGTCATTTATAAGGTAAGACCCATAACACATAGTTTTGCGTTTTGTTTGAACAAACAATGCGGGCATGAAACATATTCTGCTGTAGCCAAACAAAGTGTCCACTTGATTTATATGATGTATATGTTCATCTGATTGGGCTGAAGTCAGTGCTTCACCGGTGTTTCCACATTCACAGTGGAGCGTGTTGGTGTTTAGTGCTTACAGCACAGAGAGAGATGAAGAGTGAACAGGACTTCAGCAGCAAAACAGCCTTTTCTAGATGGAAATATTGGCACTATTTCAGACTCACTGAGGTTAAAGGTAAAATTGCGCACGTTGAGTGCACATTATGTTCCAGAACAAAACGAAAAAGTAACGCAATAGTTTACTGGTAACTAGTTACTTTTATAGTGGAGTAACTCCGTTAGTAACTCAGTTACTTTTTGGGAGAAGTAACTATTAACTATACCTAATTACTTTTTCAAAGTAACGTGCCCAACACTGGTGGCGCTACAAGTGTGTGTACAGGTGTGAGATGTGTCTTTCACCATGGATCAGCAGCTTGTAACATGTGTGGGTGCACGGCAGACACGGGAGCGCAGAGAAATGAATGAATGAGAATGAAAGAATGAAAAGTGTGGCGTACGAGCAGAGCGACTGCAGACAGACAGGATACAAGTGTGTGTTGGTGTGTTTTGGCGAGAAAATAAAGTCTGACTCTTGAGTAACAGTTGGAAGTGTCATTGCAATAGCACCACACTGTGACAGCGAAACAGAATTTAGGCCCAGTTTACACGGAGACGCTGCAGCAGTAAAACACTATAGTTTGTGCCGGTTGCTACCTCCCGTTCATACGGAGACTGTTCCAGGTGAAAACGTCAGTGTTCAGATCCAGGCTGCAGTGTGGGACGGCTCAGATATGCTGCTCAGCGGGGGCTCTCTTTCACACAAAGGTGTGAATTCTCTGCCTGATCGACCCCCACCTCCCGCTGCTCCCCGCACGTAAATTTGGACATGCGCAGTAGCGGAGAACAAACGTAAACAACAATGGCGGCGGGTATACTAACTATCCACGTGTGCTTTGAGCGCTACACGTCCAAACGAGACCACGCAAAACTCTAGGTTCAGTTTCCACTTTCGCAGCTGCTGTTAAAAGCAGAATGATGTTGGTGCATCTTCCACTTCTTGCAGAGGAAGTGAGTATACTGCTGGGGGGGGGGGGGGGGGGGGGGGGGTCATGCGTGTCGTGCTGTAAAGTTCCTCTGCCCACTACTGGCCGGGCGCTAGAACTACATCGTTTTTTCAACCTCGTATGAACGCTGTGAAATGTGCATAAGGAGCCTGGTCGTTTCTGTTTATAGCCTGGAAATGTCAGCGCAGCGTCTCCGTATAAACTCAGCCTTAGTCATCCTGGAGCCACAGATCTCCCCTGTGCCCCTTTACCACAGTCCGGGGGAAAGGTGTAACACAAGCAAGGGAGAAGGCGAAAGTATGCGACTGCAGGGAGAGACGTGTGTGAAAATGCACGTCACAGCACCTCACCTCAGCCCACACTTCCCACCGCCCTCAACATTGACCCCCCACTCCCTCGATCTGGGCTTTACACCCGTGCTCAGGCCCACCTCTCTCAACCGTAGCCACAACCGTCTCAATCCCAGTTGCCGCGGTCACAGGGCACCTAAAGCCCTGATATAATTGTGCTACTTAAACCATCTGTATCCATGCTCCTGGTTCTGTTTGGATTTTTTAGTTTTGGCTTTTATTTCATTATCGTCCTTAAATCAATATTATTTTGTCTCCTGACACACACACAATAAGGCACAGACCCAAACACTCTTTGACCACACACCTCTCTCCCACTACTCGCTCCTCACTCCTCCACATACTTCTACAGGGAGAACAACACAAACACTGCATGTAAAGTATTCACATGTATCATTACCTCCTGGGGGGAGAGAGATGTGTGAAATGAAAATGTGAATATTTAGGCTGACTTCAAACAAGTACCGAGCGGAGTTTGCCTGCGAGGGTTTGGAAGAACAAGTCAACAGGGAGTTTAAATATAAATTATATAGTAAAACATGTTGCACTGGGAAAATGAAATGTCAACGATCTTGTATTTGATGTCTGATGCTTGACGAATATCTCAATGCCAAACACGTTTTCATTTAGAGAGAAATAAGGATGGCAAAGGTGTCTAATCTATTATTGGTTTGCAGATGAATAAAAACCCATCAGAGTACAGGGTCATGCATTATGCACACATTCTTTAGATTATTTCTCTTCTGGCACTGCTACAGCCAATCCAATACCCCCTACTGTGCTGCTGCTGCTGCTTTGAGTTTAAAATTGGATTTTCTATATGACAGACATGTACAGCTTTAGTGATGTAGATCAAGTAATTTAAGCTAAAAATTATATATAACAATATTTGCAATTTTCAGATTATAACTATGACTAACCATAACTATTTCATGCTGTGCACATCCATTAAAATTATTCTTTGCTGTAAGTCTATAAGTTTGGTTTAAATGTTAAGAAGTGTATGATGTTGTGGGGTGAAATGTTTTCTTCTTCCTAAGGGGCCTGACAGTAAAAACTTAATCGAGAGGCACTTTTGAATGCTATTGGAGCGGAGCATTCCCTCAATGTGGGTCTCCCTCAAGGTTTCGCCTTTTCTCCCACTGGGCTTTTTGAGTTATTCAGACAGTGGTGATAATCCAGGACAATTGACGTTCAACGACATTATCAACATTTGTGGACATTGGTCATCTATCCCTAATGGAGCAATGGCTTTAAAGGTTTTTTATTGTTGTGTTTCCCGTATTTCCCGTGTTTGATTCTTGGACCTATGTTTGCAAATTTTTTGTAAAGTCCTACTGTTGTGATTTAGGGCGATACAAACATGAAACATATTGAATTGAATGCACTCACCTGCGGGTCCAGAATCCGGACCCCGTAGAAGAGCCAGTAGGACATGACAAACAGCAGCACCAGCACAGCCAGCAGCGCCCTGAACACGAAGACCCGCGGCAGCCCGGCACGCGGCGGCCGGAAGAATAGCGCCCACACCGCCAGCAGCAGGATGAGCAGCTTGAAGGCCACAGAGATGTACAGACCCTCGCACGCCGTCCCACAGCTCTGCAGCTTATCGGGCCACAGCACATGGGGGATCACCAGGAAGGCCAGAGGGGTGAGGAAGACCAGCAGGCCCAGCACCAGCGCCAGAGTCAGGGTGAAGTAGCGGCGACAGTCCAGGCCCACGCTGTCCTCCAGGTCCTTAGTGATGCGCACAATGTCCTCCTGCGACAGGCTGTGGTCCGACGTCCCAGTGACCGCCGTGGTGGTCTCGCCCCAGTTGTCATCCTGCAAAAAAAAAAACGTTTTAAACACTGTAATATACAATTTATAAAACACGTTTCCAAAGTTTATCTGCACGGATAAAAGTAAAATAGATTAAAATATATGAGTCTACCAGCTTTTTTTCATTATTCTCCTATAAACAGTCACATTTCTTGCCCCTCCCTTTGAAACCACTTGATTAATCGATATATTGTAGTTTAGAGTGGTGAAAAATTAAGTCATTGACTGCCATCGACGTTTTTGTCTGAGACCCTCTATTCGACTGGGGATTGCAGGACAACAAAAATAGCAAGAAACAAACGTATTTTTGCTGATGAAAGCAGGTTTTTCAGTCTTTCAGAATCTGGTTTCATATTTCACATAGTCATAGCACATAATATTCTGTGGGTCTTGAGAATCAGTGAAATCATCCAAACTGGCTGGCAGTCAATGTGATACTTTTGATGAAGACAACGTAAAACAGCTTTTAAAGACCATATCTTTTTTTTTCTACAGTTATCATAGAAAAAAACTCTGCATGTTCAAGGTCTAGGGGTGCTATGTGTAGTAGGTGGAACTCTGAATGCCACCCCCCCAAGCCCAGAAATGGATTAAGGGGAAGAAAATGGATGGATGAAGCAAATATGCAACTTTCTGGACGTCAACTGTATACGTCCAAGGGATTAGGAATAAAAGGTTGCAAATTGTACCACACATAAGTATATTAACGGCT